TACTCAGTGCGTCCCATATACTTAGTGCGTCCCATATACTCAGTGCGCTCCATATACTCAGTGCGCTCCATATACTCAGTGCGCTCCATATACTCAGTGCGCTCCATATACTCAGTGCCACCCATATACTCAGTGCGCTCCATATACTCAGTGCGCTCCATATACTCAGTGCCACCCATATACTCAGTGCCACCCATATACTCAGTGCCACCCATATACTCAGTGCCACGCATATACTCAGTGCCACCCATATACTCAGTGCGCTCCATATACTCAGTGCGCTCCATATACTCAGTGCGCTCCATATACTCAGCGCGCTCCATATACTCAGTGCGCTCCATATACTCAGTGCCACCCATATACTCAGTGCCACCCATATAGTCAGTGCCACCCATATACTCAGTGCGCTCCATATACTCAGTGCCACCCATATACTCAGTGCCACCCATATACTCAGTGCCACCCATATACTCAGTGCGCTCCATATACTCAGTGCCACCCATATACTCAGTGCGCCCCATATATTCAGTGCGCTCCATATACTCAGTGCGCTCCATATACTCAGTGCCACCCATATACTCAGTGCGCTCCATATACTCAGTGCGCTCCATATACTCAGTGCCACCCATATACTCAGTGCGCCCCATATATTCAGTGCTCCCCATATACTCAGTGCCACCCATATACTCAGTGCGCCCCATATATTCAGTGCTCCCCATATACTCAGTGCCACCCATATACTCAGTGCGCCCCATATATTCAGTGCTCCCCATATACTCAGTGCCACCCATATACTCAGTGCGCCCCATATATTCAGTGCTCCCCATATACTCAGTGCCACCCATATACTTAGTGCGCCCCATATACTCAGTGCGCCCCATATACTCAGTGCGCCCCATATATTCAGTGCTCCCCATATACTCAGTGCGTCCCATATACTCAGTGCGTCCCATATATAGTTATTAAAGAGACTTGCAGGTACATCATGGGGATCAGACAAGGAAACTCTGAGGGGCTTATACCTAGGATATGTTCGCTCTGTGATAGAGTACAACAACTCACTGCTTACAACTTGTTCCAAAACTAACCTAGAGACTCTTGACAGAGTACAAAACAATGCCCTCCGATTAATCTGCGGAGCTATGCAGTCTACACCAACTGCTGCATGTGAAATCCATACAAATGTGGAACCCCTCGGGTTGCGGAGAGAAAAAGCCACTTTAGAAATTTATGAAAGATGCGTTAGGAAAAATCGTAACCATCCTAATAGACATCTTGTAGAAAACTGGGAATCCAAACAAAGAATAAAGCACAAATCGGTTTTACACTGTGTTAATGAAATTCAGGACAGATACCACCTCCCAGAAAGACGTCAAGGAATTCAGAATGTTGCAAGAAACCTACCACCACATGCTCGCTTTAAAGATCCAGAAGTCCAAACTAAATTGGTAGGCGAGGAAACCAAACAGTCCGACCCAATCGCTCTTATGAACTCATCACTAAAGACCGTTGATTCTTACTCCCAAGAATGGATACATGTCTATACTGATGGATCAGCATTTAAAGCTACCATTAAAGCAGGTTACGGAATCTACATAGGTTATCCCGATGGATCTGTTGAAGAGATTTTTGATGCATGCGGGGAATTCTGTTCAAACTATGAAGCTGAAATAATTGCACTGGAAACAGCCGTATACCACCTAAAGACTGTAATGGATGTTTACCCCTCAAAGGTCCAAAATATTGTCATCTTCACAGATTCAATGTCTGCCCTTCAAGCTCTGGAGGGCAATGAACGCTGCAGAACTGACATAGCCAAGATAATCCTGGATGCCGATCAGCTTATTACCTCATACAACATCAGAATAGTGATGCAGTGGATTCCAGGTCACTCCGGCACACCAGGTAATGACAGAGCTGACAGATTGGCAAAGAAAGGAGCAACACAAGAACAACCACCTACAGCGACAACCCTCCAGACAGCAAAAACACTGATAAGAGCTATAAACAAAGAGACTTGGTTGAACAGATGGGCCATGGGAGACACTGGAAGAGAGGTTTATAGACATATGTCTGGCCCTGATCCTAATGACAGCATTAACCATCTAACAAGAAGGGACCAGGCCACCATCTTCAGACTTAGAACGCAACATACTCCACTCAATGGACACCTAAACAGAATACAGCCACAACACTCCTCAGAGTGCCAGCTATGTAACTACCCCTACGAAACTGTTGAACACCATCTCTTTGAGTGCCCAAAACTCAGTGAGACAAGAAGAACGCTACTCCCTCCGAGACCAGACAAGTGGAACACCTTGTACGGAGGAAAAGAACAGCTTGTGAAAACATGCAAATTCCACTACATGGCATTGGGCCAAAGGGCGAAAGCTCATGCGCCGCTGGATCGATAACAACAATCCCATATACTCAGTGCCACCCATATACACCGTGCGTCCCATATACTCAGTGTGTCCCATATACTCGGTGTGTCCCATATACTCAGTGTCACCCATATACTCAGTGCGCCCAATACATTCAGTGCTCCCCATATACTCAGTGCGTCCTATATACTCAGTGCCCCATATACCCTGTGCCCTATATACCCTGTGTCCCATATACTCATTACGCCCTATATACCCTGTGCGCCCCATACACCCCGTGCGCCCCATATACAGACAAATAGACAGAAAGACATTTTACCTGGGGGAGAAAGTAGACGAATATTTTGAATTAACAAACACAAACAATTGTACTACAGAGTTGGTGCACTGAGCTGAAAGCTGCCTAACTAGACAAACACCAAGGAAATTAGAGCACTACTGAATTATTTCTGCGATGAAGATGGCTCCTGTATCCAATTGCAATCCAACCCATCTCCAATCGACTTCTTAGTGCCGTAGTGCTGGCTTTCCCTGTTCAAGCATATTCTCCTTCTGGTCCATGGAAACACCCCGCCCCGGCTTTTCCCTCAACTGTTTACCTATCTCCCCCCCCCCCCCCGCCCCTCCTGCCCCTTTCCAGTTCATGTTTCCTCGCCTGTGCCAGGCGCGCCGTAACGACATGTTCCAAAAATAAATATTTACAGAAACGTGTTTATTAATTACACACAGGAGAGTTGCCAGCGCTGAGCCACGGGGTAGAAAAAACAGAGCCAAGCTTCTTGAGATGGGCAAGTCTTTTTAAGATTAGGGCCGTTGTTTATATTTGGCTGTTGGGGGTAGAAAAATCTGGACTGAATGATGGAGGGAGAGTAAGAGAGAGAGAGAGAGAGAGAGAGAGAGAGAGAGAGAGAGAGAGAGAGTGAGAGTGAGAGAGAGAGAGAGAGAGAGAGAGAGAGAGAGAGAGAGAGAGTCCAAGGATAGCATTGTGAGCTCCTAATAAGAAAAGGAGGAAATGAAGTGGTGCGACAGGGAAACGTCTAGACTAACTCTCTCACACATGCCTTTTTTTCTCTGACATGGAGCAGTCAGTCTATAACCCTCTTGACGACAGTGGCATATCGGGGCATATGGTGCTAAATTCACATTCGTATAAACCCTTGATGGGTGATAACATTAACCTCACACCGGCCGTCTTTACTTCCTATGACTTTGCCTTTTACACGTTTTAGGCCAAGGCAACCTAGGAGCCAGCCATTTTTGAAAAGAATATCCGATTCGATGTTGTTTGGTGCACGTGATCCTGGAACCGGCCGGATGGGGGTGGGGGTGGGGGGCTTTGTCGTAGCTCACAACTAGCGTCTTCCGGTGCTCCCACTTCTGCCAAATTGCTGCAATGCTTGAATGAGAGGATAACTGCAGGCGATGTGTGTTTGTGCATGTGTGTGTGTGTGTGTGTGTGTGTGTTGGGAAAAAAAGGGGTCGGGGGTAAATAGCTTTAAATTCTAAGAAGAATACTTGGCATTAAATTTCAGAACAAGATCAATAACACTGAGGTATTTGAAGGAGCAGCTACTACAACAGTCTTCTCAATGCCCAGTCTACGTAGGCCCGGTGACTTGGTCACACTTGGAGAATGGAGAATGCCAGAGCTCCTAAGAACATCCTTTATTGTGAATCATAGACGGGTAGAACATGTCAAGGCCGACCTCTACTACAATATAAAAATGCAGGTAAACGGGACATGAATGATGCAGGTACTGAGGTGGACTCGTGGCAACAAACTGCCATGGATCTTTTTTTGTGGAGGAGGCACATGGGAAAGGGAATGAGAGTGAAGGAAGAAATGATTGCAGAAAGGAAAAGAGCTGAGGGTCTGAGAAGTAACAGACTAAACATAAATGTTGACAACAATGGTCCTGAAATCCAACGCCATAATTGTGGAAAACTTGTCTTAACGCGGGCGGGGGGCTCCTAATCACACTCGCCCTCGCCATGGGACGTGAGAACCATGCATCCTCATAGCGTATTTTAATATTATCGTCTGGAAAGATGGAAAGATGCCAGTCGTGAGTGTCTGGGGGAGAGGGGGGAGGCACACGTGTCAGTGTACGTACCAGCCAGTACTGAGATTCAAGAGACGCTATCACCTTCGATGTTAAAGAAGTTAGTTGCGTATCCTTTACAGGACATTGCATAACCAACCCTAACATTTTTGGCTGTTGTGGTTTTTCTAGGCAAATTAACGTCCAGTAGTTTGCCATTGCTTTCTAGACAGTCAGTTTCTCGATAACACTGTCGAAACCAACGCAAGGCGCAAGGTCGCAGCTGGGATCTAACCCGGCATTGCGAAGCATTGGTCACACACCCAGGTCACACACACACCGACCCTTCTATGTTAGCTGTGTGTATGTGTGTGTGTATGTTCGTGTGTGATCGTGTGCGTACGTGCTTTTTTACATTACTTAACATTACACCGTGTGAACACAATCCGCTGTTTACAAGATGTAATCATCTCTTGATTCACTGTTACGTTGTCTACATGCGGTTTCTTTGTAAATCTCATCATCATCATCATCATAAGTTCTCGTTATGCCTAGTGGCACATGCTGTCAGAAGTTCTTTGATGCAGAAGAAACTCCACAAGTTTGGGCTGGCACAACTAGCAAATCTCTGTCCAGAAACTGCAGAAGAGGCCAAGTCATTTATTCCCAGTTTGGATGAAAGGTTTGAAGACGATGAGCTGCAGCAGATATTGGACGATATTAAAACTAAAAGGAGCTTCCAGTATTAGACAGTCAGATTGTGCATGGAGGAACATGTTATCATTATGAACACGAGTGAGTGATTCATAGCTGGGGAATGTTACAGGCAGTAGAGTGACTGGTTGTTTGTGATTTCAGATGTGATGTGTGCTGCCTATGTGAGTAATACAACAATACAAATGTTTGGCAAATAATGATCTCATATGTGATGTCTCCGTATGATAGTCTTGTCTGTGTGCGCAATACAGATGTTTGGCAGATTGTATTTGCACTGATCTCATATGTGATGTCTCCGTATGATAGTCTTGTCTGTGTGCGCAATACAGATGTTTGGCAGATTGTATTTGCACTGATCTCATATGTGATGTCTCCGTATGATAGTCTTGTCTGTGTGCGCAATACAGATGTTTGGCAGATTGTATTTGCACTGATCTCATATGTGATGTCTCCGTATGATAGTCTTGTCTGTGTGCGCAATACAGATGTTTGGCAGATTGTATTTGCACTGATCTCATATGTGATGTCTCCGTATGATAGTCTTGTCTGTGTGCGCAATACAGATGTTTGGCAGATTGTATTTGCACTGATCTCATATGTGATGTCTCCGTATGATAGTCTTGTCTGTGTGCGCAATACAGATGTTTGGCAGATTGTATTTGCAGTGACTTTGCTTCTGAGTAGCAAAGGTATTCAGGTGTTTTACATGAATAAATCTGTTGAGTTCATTTTAATTTAAAAAAAAACAAAAACATGAGGCTTCAGAGAGGACTTTCCATGCTTTCCTCTCCTGTGCAATCCTCAGTGCAGTTTAAATAATCTCAGCGAATCAAAAATATTCAAACAATACCACAAGTGATCTTTATTTACATTCTTTAAATGCAGTCTCAACTGTGGCTGAAAGAAAGACAAAATATACACATGTACCAGAACTTCCTGGTTGGTTCCAGACACGCAACCTATCCACATTCTCAGTGTAAACGTTTATCTGATTGGCTGGTGCCATCTTGTCTGATGATATAAATTGACCGAGGAGAAGAAGAAGGAAGAGGAGCTGTTTTACCGTGGTAAGCAATCGGCAAATATCGTAAATATTTCAGTAAGCGGGAAAAACGAGCTTGACAAGGGCTAGTAAGAAATAACGTTTTATGTACTCTTTAAAACAGGGGACGAAACTCAACGCTGATAAAATAATTGCAGAAACGAAAATAGAAAAGATCAAGCAACTGATAACAGATAAGGGAGGGGATGTTTTGGGTAACAGGATCAACAAACCCCTCTCACCCCAGTCCGGGTTTTGATTTGAACCGCGACCATTCTGTTATTCTTACGTTTTAGAAGCAGAACAGAAACTAAATGTTTACTCACTGCTAAGTATGTCCTCATCATCTTATGGAGATTTTCATAATTCTGAGTTCATTAAAAATATATAGCTTCAAGTCCTTACGTCCTTTTCAGGACGTAATTTTTTGTTATTTGAATCCCCACTCTGGTTTTTGCCAGGGGCCGCAATATAGGCAGGCCATAAAAATGGCCAAATGTCTGAACGCGGTTTCTGGGACCTCTCCACGGTGATCCTCATCCACATGGTGGCACTTTGTGTCATCGGGTGTTTATCGCTTGTGTGATGTCCTAGTGGGGTAGAAAGTCACTCACTCACTCACTCTGGGTTCATAAAGCTTACAGGTGATTCGTCCTTTCTAGGATGAAATATTTTGTTATTCGAAGCCCCACCCTGGCTTTTGCCAGGGGCCGCAATATAGGCAGGCCATAAATGTGGCCAATTGTCTGAACGCGGTGTCTGGGACCTCTGCACGGCGATCCTCATCCACATGGTGGCACTCTGTGTCATCGGGTATTTTTCGCTTGTGTGATGTACTGGTGGGGTAAAAATCGACTACTACTACTATGCGTCCATTGTCGGATACAATTTTTCGTTATTTTAAAGCTCCACCCTGACTTTTGCCGGTGGGTCCTGAATATAGCAGGACCATAAATATGGAGTTTCTGGGTGATCCTCATCCGCATAGTTGCACTTTGTTTCACCGAATGTTTATCGCTTGAGTAATGTAATTTTTGGGTACAACTAGAGAGAGAGAGAGAGAGATAGAGAGAGAGAGAGAGAGAGAGAGAGAGAGAGAGAGAGAGAGAGAGAGAGAGAGAGAGAGAGAGAGAGATAGAGAGAGAGATTTTTCTATCCGTGACCTCTCAGAGTTCTTTAGCAGCAATAAAGGTGAAAATGGAAATGATATAATTTCTGATGCAGTTCAGCTGGACGTGAACAATGTTTTTTTCCTCCATATAAATCCAAATGACTGTGAGTTATTAGTTTCGGAAGGTTCTGAGGAGTCACAAATTCAGTGTGCTGCTTGATAGTCTTTACTGCAGATAGAAAGATAAATTAGCAGATGATGTTGGCTCAAGTGCGATGTCCACAGACTACATACAACTGCTTGAACGTGTTTAAAATACCCTTCAAAGTTTATAATTTTATTGACTTGTGTAGCATTTGCAGCTATGCAGAAGCGAATATCAGTTTAAATGGAAACACAATTTCTAGCCTGCAAATATCACAAACAATTGCTTATGCATATTGTTCCATGCAGTTTACACATATATTTCAGTGATGAAATAGGAGGTGTCTGTGGGGAGGGTTGTTGTAAAGTGTAAAGTGTTGTGTAGTTGTGTCTGCGTGTAGTTGTTTCTGTGTGTAGTTGTGCTTGTGTGTAGTTGTATCTGTGTGTAGTTGTGCCTGTGTGTAGTTGTGTCTGTGTGTAGTTGTGTCTGTGTGTAGTAGTGTCTGTGTGTAGTTGTGTCTGTGTGCAGTTGTGTCTGTGTGTAGTTGTGCCTGTGTGTAGTTGTGCCTGTGTGTAGTTGTGTCTGTGTGTAGTTGTGTCTGTGTGTAGTTGTGTCTGTGTGTAGTTGTGTCTGTGTGTAGTTGTGTCTGTGTATAGTTGAACCCGTGTGTAGTTGTACCCGTGTGTAGTTGTGCCCGTGTGTAGTTGTGTCTGTGTGTAGTTGTGTCTGTGTGTAGTTGTGTCTGTGTGTAGTTGTGCGTGTGTGTAGTTGTGCGTGTGTGTAGTTGTACCTGTGTGTAGTTGTACCTGTGTGTAGTTGTACCTGTGTGTAGTTGTACCTGTGTGTAGTTGTACCTGTGTGTAGGTGTGCCTGTGTAGTTGTGCCTGTGTGTAGTTGTGTCTGTGTATAGTTGTGTCTGTGTGTAGTTGTGCCTGTGTGTAGTTGTGCCTGTGTGTAGTTGTGCCTATGTGTTGTTGTGCCTGTGTGTAGTTGTGCCTGTGTGTAGTTGTGCCTGTGTGTAGTTGTGTCTGTGTGTAGTTGTTTTTCTGAATAACTATAGGAAAGTCCAAAACGATACATCCTTGCTGGGTAAATATCCAAGAAAAAAACTGGCTAAGTTCACTCATTAGTTTAAGTTAACATATGATCAAGCGACTACATTATGAGACATACTGCAGCTAAAAAATGTAAGTAGTTTCTGTTGCACTTTATGTTTATATGTTGTCATGTTGTGTGTAACTAAATATATGTTTAATTGTCAAGTTTATTTCTAGAATTTTTGTAGAGGACAGCAGAAAGACACCGAAAAAACGGGACTGTCAGAGTGAAAATTTAACGTATCGTTAGCCCGCTTTGGTGACGTCACGTCAAGCTGATGACGTCATGAGTAAGACCTGTTAGCTGGAGACGGTTTTGGTATGGGTACGGAACAGGTCGATGAGAAAGTAAGTCCTGGGTTTATAGCCATGTGTGTGTGTGTGTGTGTGTTGTGTGTGTGTGTGTTTGTGTGTATGTGTGTGTGTGTTGTGTTTGTGTTTGTGTGTGTGTTAGTTACAAAGCGCATCACAGAAAATAAGCAAAATTTATAACATTACTTTCATGCAGGAAGGGAACAAGGAGGACTGGAAATAGCTACCTTATACCGTAAAACACGTACATCCTAAAACAAGATAACTATCTGTGAAATAAATGATACAAGTCTGCATTTGTTAAAGTGGGCAGACCATTATGAAATAGAAGTATATGTGAAAGCTGATTGATAGGCTGCTAGTATTGTTGGCACGTGATCGAGAAAAGGCTGGTCAAGTGATAAATTACAATGTGAGTGAGAGAGAGAGAAAGAAAGAAAGAAAAGAGAGAGAGAGAGAGAGAGAGAGAGAGAGAGAGAGAGAGAGAGAGAGAGAGAGAGAGAGAGAAACACATACAGAAACGGAAGGGACTCAAGATCTAAAGAATGACTGAGAACAGGATAAACTGAGAGACAGAAAAAAAGAGAAAATGGCAGAGGGTTGAAGAACCAGAGAGTAAGAAAGAAAGAGATAAAGTGAGAGAGAGAAAAAAGAGAGAATTTGAATGAAAGGGAGAGAAAGAAAGCAAGTGATAAAAATAGGAGGAGAAAGGGAGGGAAAGGGGGAGGCGGATAGAGAGAGAAGGGGTGGAGGTGGGGGGGGGGATGAGAACAAACGAACGAAGGAAGAAACTTTTTTTTTAAAGGGTTACAAATTGGGCACGCAGACCCGTCTGACATTCGGCCCTTCCAAGCACTCATTTTTCAGAGTACCAATGCCTATCTAAAATGCATGTTATTGATATAATAAACAAATATAAATTATAGAATAATGCATAAACACATCATGTGTACACAATCGTAGACACACACACACGTATACATACCCCTACATTCTCATACATGCACACTCATATAGACATACGTAATACATACATACACACTACATACATTCATACACTAACATAAAACTCGTACATAGACATAAATGCACAAACAGAAAACACACACACATACATTTATGGATATATATGCACACACACATTCAATACATACACACCTATACATGCATCCATGCATACACACATGTACAGACACCAACATATGCCCACAACCACACATTTACACTCACATGAATACATACACTCAAATACATGCACACATACATACATACATGCATACATACATACATACATACATACATACGTACATACATACATACATACA